AGATGTGTATAAGAGACGTGTGGTAAAGAATACAAAATTGCTTGACAACCAATACGCGCTCGTTTTGACGCGCTACTGTGATTTCACGAACTAACACAATCTACTTTGATTGTGTTAGTTCGTGATGTGAGCGACGATATATACACAATACAAATAATTAAGAATTAAGAGTTTTTATGTCATGTATGTATGTGCTTGTACCAGTATACGTTTTTTCCATGAATCGATAAACCCCAAAAATTTAAAAAATGGTTTGATTCCTACATGGCGGGAAATGAGCTTTCCTGACTTCTAATTTTCTTCAAAAAAAAAAATCAGCTCACAGGTCCTGAAACGCCGTAAACCTAGAAGTTTTTATTTATTTTTTATTTTTCGACTAAGAGAGGGGGATCAAGACCCCTGACACCCCAGATCCGCCAATGTGAATTGCGAGAAAATGTAACTCGGTTGGGGATTGGATAAACACTCTCTTTCCGTCCGATCTTCTCCTTCTTTCCTCTTTCTTTTCTTTCTGATCATACAAAAATCTTCATAGACATTATATATTTTCTGCCAAAAAGTGGGGAGGGGAACCCAGTCCCCCGGTTGTGCCAGCCATGTCCTACGTAAAAGGGCCATGGAGGTCTGAGATGCTTAACTGCAGTGGTGGACCTTTCCTATTTCTACACCATAAAACAAAAAACGAAAAATAAATAAAAGTCCTTTGAATCTTCCAACTGATGATATAATTTCTACGTTCCTTAAAATTATCATGTCTTAACCTTACTGTTTCTTGTTCTTTATTTTTTTTTTTTGGCAGATGAAGCAACAGAACAAGTCGTGAAAAGTGTACTGAAGTTTTGTTAGAACATTTGCTGAATAGTGCGATAATCTGGTAAAGGAATGTATAGGAGGAGCATCCAGTCGATGTTAAAGTGTCAAAGCATGGAATCATGAATGTTTGACATATTGATGGTGCAATATAACTGTAGGCCTACTTGCTGCTACTTGGAAATTGGACTCTTGCAAAATTTCTTTTGCTTAAATCAGATTCAACAAAAAAGCCACTATAGCGTAAGCTCAGTTGTTCAATTCCTACCCAAATTACTTTATTTGCAAGTATTATGGATACATTCCTAACATAAACAACAGCATTGAATGGCATGGCAGTATTCAGTGGTACATGGAAATGGGATTTACACACCAGGCTGGTGCTTAACCACTACAACACTGAGCTTGCGCTTTCCGAAATCAGTATTTGTGAAAGTCACTGAGAATGCAAAAACAATATATGTATTTATTTATTTATTTTTATTTTTTTGGCAGATGACAGACAACTCTTTGCAAGATGATAAGTAACTTTTGATATACATCAAAGAATCAATAATACTGTAAGTATTAAGTGAAATATACTGAAGCTTTATGAAATTATTAACTTTATTATTACCTTTAATTTTTTTTAGAATCTATTTTTGGTGGATGCAGCAACACAGTTGCAAGACAGGAAAAGTACTGCTGCAGAGGAAGACAAAGAAGAGAAACCTATTATAATTAATTTTGTTAATATAGGCAATTTAATTTAAATTAGTTAATTTAATTTGTCATGCCTAATACAATACAGAAGTTTTGCTAATATCTTGCTGAATATTGTGATGTCGTAAACCCGGTGAACTGTCTCTTATACCACATCTTTTTGAGCAGAGGTGG